ATTATATTAGTAAGAGCTCTCCAGAGAAAAAGGATCAATACATATACATAGGTGTATAGAAAGAAATTTATTATGAGGGACTGGTTCACATGATTTAGCCAGTGATTTAGCTCTAGTCCAAACCTAAAGGCCTAAGTACCAGGGTAGACAATAATATAAGTCTCAGTCCCAGTCTGAAGACCAAGAATGGAAGATCAGTTGTGTAACTTGACCAGAGTCAGGAGTGCTGATGTCCAAGGGCAGGAAAAGATGGATGGATGCAGAGAGCAAATTCATCTTTCCTCTTCCTTTTTGTTCCTATGATGAGTACCGCTTATATTTTATAACTTAAGTGCTTCATTTAATCCATCATAATTCTAGCTCTGAGAAACATTGCTCTCTAATAAAAGTCTGAGGCTCTCTAGAACTTATTTCCAAAATTTCCTGCTCTTTTCAGTTTCTGCCAAACCACTTAAACCATAGGTGATCCTGTTCCTACAAAACATTGGCTGGAAATAATTATTCTTAACTTCAAAGAGCAAATTGCAAAGAAAAACCAAACATTAAAAATTTTTTTTGTACATAAACAGTATTTTTAAAATAAGGTGGATATTTGGTGTACAGAGGCAAAAGTCCAGGTGTCAATGTTTGGAAAGCTAGAAATATAGCCACTTTTCCCTCTCTTGCACAGAACCCAGCATTACAATGAAATCATAAGGGCTTTGGTTTGGGGAGCATCAATACAATGCACCTTACTACAAACATTAGCATTCTCACAGTAAATACTACATAGGATGTCATAATGACTAGTCTGAAAGTCATGTCTTTGGCAGGAAAAGGGTATGTATGATTAAAGACAAAACAAAACAAAACAAAAAGAACTCTGGTTAGCAAGTGCATGTGAGTATGTGAGACATCATTTGGGGACTTTTGGTAATATCTTAGGTGTTTGGGTATTTAGAAGAAGGTTGTCAAATGTTGAAAATGCAACTTTGTTTACTGTTACTATGGTATTATTTGAATTATAGGCTGGTGGTGGAGTCTGGGGAAACTTGGGTTTTAATTATTTAGATTAAGTATTTAATTATTTGTTCCAGGGGAATTGTTCTTTCTCATCATATTCTTTGATAGCTTCCATGAACTCTGGGGGCCGTATTTAAGTAAACCTCAAATTGGTTGAAGTGGTCATTGGTACTCTCAGACTCTCTTCTATAACCTTCGCCCTCTTTGAAGTTCAGATTAAGTAGACTCTAACTAAATTTGTGTGAAAATCAATAAATTATATCTGACTCTGAATAAATGTTTTTACTTATACAATGAGACATTTTATTTCTTGTTAAAATCTAAGCTTCAGTCTCCCAGGCAAGTGAAAAATGGAGAGTTTTCCTATAATTCCTTGTTTTGTGAATAACTAATCTGTTAATCCACAAGGCTGGTCTCATACCAGAGCATACTCATTTCTTTGTTCTTTTATTTATTGTTTCCCTTCTTGGTATGAATTACCACAGTATTTGCCCCGAATGAAGGACCTTTTCTAGTTTATACTCTGAACATTATCCTATGATAGTTACAACCCACCCTCCCGACATCATTCTTTTCTTCCCTTCTTCTCCTTGGGGCCCCTAGAACACAAAATGATTTAAACAACAACAACAAAAATCTTCTTCTTATTTCTGTTACATTACTAGACAAGGTGTCATTTTAACCTCTCCTATAACCACTTCAGTCCCACGATCTTTAGGTTTTCTTTATTCATAGAGTCAATATTTTATTTACCTCTTAATTGCTATCATTTTTTACTTTGGCATATAAAATTTCCCCTCATTTTCTTAAAATGTAAATGTTGTATACCCTATAAGTTGCAACTTCTTTAATCACAGCTCAAAAGATTACTTTTATAAAACGTTACTGGGTGTCTTTGTGTTAAACTCTTTACCCATTCTGATTGAATTCATTTTCTTGAATTGGACAATTCACTGAACACTGATGTTCAATAGGTCAAAGTACAACTAGACAAGAGTTTCATTCATGTTTTTTTTATTTTCAACTATTTTAGGATATTAGAATAAAATAATGTTATTGTTTGTTTGCTATTTATATATTTGTCTAATTTTATTTTTTTAACTTTTACACTGATATGATGGTACAGAATATATGCAAACAAATAATTAGAACCAGTAAGATATAACGTATAGTTGCTGAAATAAAAATGAACATAAAAAACAATATTTTTTACAACAGAATCTATTAAAAAGAAAGCAGAAAAATTATTCCATTTACAGTAGCAACAAAACATTTAAGTTACCCAGAAAGAAACTAAATAAATACAGACAGATCATTTAAAATTACAAAATACTACTGGAAAAAAAAAATATATATATATATATATACCATTTTTATTTTGAAAACCCAATATTATAAAACACCTAATTTTTCCAAATTTAACTTATAAATTAATTACACTTCTAATAAATATCCCAATAAAGCTATTTGAGATCCTTGGTTAGTTGATTCTAAAGTTTATAAGTAATAACTTCTGTTATAGACTTAATTGTGCCTCCCCCCAAATTTATATATTGAAGCCCTAACCCTCAATGTTACTATATAAAAAAATTGGGACTTTAAAAAGGTAATAAAAGTTAAATGAGGTCATAGGGGTGGAATCCTAATCCAATAGAACTAATGTTTTTATAAAAAGATAAGGAGACATTAGAGGTCTCTCTTTCTCTTTTTCTGCATGCACAGAGAAGAAAGGCCATGTGAGGACACAGTAACACAACTGCCATTTTCAAGCCAAAATGAGAGAGTCTCACCAGAAACCAACTCTAATTGTATCTTGATCTTGGACTTTTAGCCTCCTGCATTGTGATAAAATAAATTTCTGTTAAGTCACTCATGCCAGTCCTTTTTATTGTTTTTTATGGCAACATTAACAGAGTAATACAAGTCGTGTTACCGAGAAGTGGGGTGCTACTATAACAAACACCTAAAATGTGGAAATGGCTTTAGAACTGGGTAATAGGTAGAAGTTGGAAAAGTTTTGATGTACATGCTATAAAAACCCTAGATTGCTTTAAAGGGACTATTGGTAGAAATATAGATGTTATAGGTAATTTTGACTCAGAAAGAAAAGAAGAACACTGAAGAGAAATCTTCTGTCATGTAAGATAATATATTTATCATGAACAGAATGCTGGTAGCGACAGGAACGCTAAAGGTACTTCTGGTGAGGTCTCAGATGCAAACAAGGAACACTTTATTAGAAACTAGAAAAAAGGCAATGCTTGTGATAAATTGGCAAAGAACTTAGCTGAACTATATCTTAGCATTTTGAAGAAAGTAAAACTTGTCGACCTTTAATCTTTAGCAAAAGAGATTTCTAAGCAAAGTGTTGAAGGCTGTATGCTGTTTCTTTTTACTATTTGTGAGAGGAAAGAGATAAATAGAGGGAGCTCTTAAGCAAACAAGAGCCAGAACTTAAAAGATTTGCAAAATTCTCAATCTGCTCATGTTGCAAAAAATGAGAAAGCATGTTCTGGAAAGAACACCAAGAACGTGGCTAGACAATCACTCCATAAAGAGAACACCCATGGGTGTGATCATTCAGCTAACTGAAGCCAGTAATAGAGATGGGATTAAATCAGCTGGGACACTGAGATTTTGGACCAAAAGAAAGGCTTTCTAACTTCTGGCATTCTACAGGACTGGACATTAGATCTATTTTCTTCAAACATGCTTTATTCTTCAAAAAAGGGAAATTAACCACCAAGGTGATTCAGAGATTATCAAGGCTGCCACCTTCATCACAGGCCCTGGAGACAAAGCTGCGCTCTCCTCTATTTCAGAGGATAGAGTCACCTCCTCAGTTTCTATGAGCTTGGCTGCTCCTGTCCAGTGCTGCAGGGGCAGAACTGTTTCTGAGTCACAGGGGGAGCAGCCTCCACTCATAGCTAAGGGGACGGGACTCTATCCAGAGTCAAAGGAGTATGGATGCCACCTAGATCTGTAAAGCAATGATGCTACACCTCAGTAGGTCCTGACAGCAAAGCATCCAGACAAAAGAGATTATTATTATTACTTTGCAAACAAACTTCTTATTTCCACAACACAACCCAACTTCTCTTTTCATCGGAACATAAATTAACCTGGGCCACCAAAGCTGGTAAGTGACAGAAGGTAAGGGGTTACCATAAAAATAGATTATACTCAAAGCTCTCCTCCTGGAGACCCAACCCCTGTGCCCTAGGCCCCATTCAGGGCTCACCAAATGGAGGGAACTAAAGATGTGAAGAGAGAGTGGAAACTAATAAAAGGAACTCCACCGAACAAAGGGGATAAGAGCCTGGCAGTGAAGAGTGGGGTGAGCTTTGAGTACTGGACAAAAGAGGAAGAAAATTATTTATTGGGGGATGTAATGGTATGTAGTTTCAATCTTGTCGACCATTATAGATCTCTCACTGGAACTAAATTGTAGTCAATTTATGGATATAGAAATTGGAGATGGAAGGAAAGTTTAAATTCCCTCCTCTTTCACCAGAGTAGATGATTATTCAGCTCTACTCTTTGCCCAGTCTGTCTCCCCACCAAAAGCTTCCAAATCCCTTAGCTAAAACTTGTATCAGAAAATGGAATCGGAATGGGGATACTTATGAATTTTGCTCAAATCCTTCAGCCAGGGAACTGACATGAAGTTTGAGGAGCAAGGGTGGGGAAAAGGAAGTTAATAAAATTACATATTTTCTCCCTTACTTAAACTCAGGCCCTGGGCAGATGGAAGGAAGACCAGGCAGCTGTTATCAGGGACCCATGCAGATCTGTTGGACATATAGTATGGGAGAGGAGACCAGGAGGGTCCCTTAGGCTACTAGATGATAAATCAGGGCCCTGGGATCAAGGGGAAGCAAAAAGCAATGCAGTAACAAAAAGTGGGAGTTTTTGAGCCCCCAAACTTATGGGCCACATTCCACCACCAACTGCCCTGCCACTATTGACCAGAGGGACCCCTGTGGGTGGCAGGAAGATCAAGGGCACAGCTTGATGCAGGTGCCCTTAGAGAGCACCCGGAAGAAAGGGAAGACAGGCTCACCCAGGAAGGCAGCTGAGAAGGTGTGCACGTGGGCCAGAGTCTCTGCGTTGTAGAAGCCTAGCCGCCCTGAGTCGTAGTCCAGGTAAATGCCAAAGCGCTGCGGTTTGTCACTCGGGCTCAGCAGTGTCTGTTCAGTTGAGCTCTGTGCCTGGTAACGTTTGCCATTGGTGCCCACACACCACACTTCCCGCTGGACCAGAGGCGGCTGGGTCACGTGAAGCCGACGGCGACAGTGGTGATGACGTGAGGAAGAGCTGGCATCCCCAATGCCCACAGAGGAACCCCCAGAGCCCACCTTCTCCTTATGATGGGTTGATTTGCGGGCAGCGCCCACAGCCCAGCCCTGTCGCCCTCCAACCTCTACTTCCCAGTAGTGCCGGCCAGAGCTGAAGCTCTGGACCGCGAGTACGCAGCAGTCAGCCGAGAAGTGCTTGGAAGGGTCAGCACCTTCCTGCTGCCACTCTGCCAGGCAGACCTCCCTGCAGTCAGGGGACAGCATCAGGGCTGGGTGAGCCGAGTAGGGGTCCAGTGTCAAGTCCACTTGGGCAGCCTGACAAAACATCCGGCTCATTTTCCTCACAATGGCATCTGCTAGGAAGTCATGGCTATGGGGTTGACACGGGTCAGGGGACCAGACCTCTGGGGGCTGCAGCTGGATCTTTTCACACCTATTGAACGTCTCCTTGATGTCCTGGAACAGCTGCAGGCCCCGCTGCTGGCTCCGCTCCTGGGCCTCAGCCAGCAGGCGGCTCAGCTGGGCAGCCTGCTCAGTAAGATGGCTAACTGCTGTTCCTGCATGCCTCAGTTGGGCTTCGTGCTTCTCTCGGAGGCGCCGCTCCAGCCCTGCCTGCTCTTCAGTAAGAAACCGTGTCAGCCGCCTAAATTCTGAGGCCACAGCTGCCAGCTCTGACTTTACCTGGCTCTGGGATGATGCAAAAGGCATGGTGGATAATACCTTCAGCTCTGTCACCCGCCTCTCCTCTTTGGCTTTCATTTTCTGCACGGCTTCCAGGCGCTTCCTCAGAGGTTCCACATACCCCTGCAATTTGGCCTTGTACTCCTGTACCACCTCCTCCAATGGCACCACGCTGTGCTGTTTGTGGCTCTTGGATTCTCGGCACCCCACACAGATGGCCTCTTCATCGACCTCGCAGAAGAGCTTCAGGGCTTCTTGGTGTTTGGGACAAATGCCCTGCTCATTCCCACAACTCCCCTGACCAGGGGCTGGGTGCATCTGCCTAATCACCTGGACCATGTTGGCCAGTTGCAAGTTGGGGCGGAAGTTCCTCCTAGTATAGCTCTTCCGGCATTGGGGGCAGGTGAAGCGCCTCCGAAGGGCTGGGGGCAGTGGCAAGACGGGGTCTAGCTCCTCATCCTCGTCCTCCTCCATGTCCCCCAAATAGTAGTCCAGGTCTTCCTCCTCGTCTTCCTCCTCCCACTCGTAGTCCACGTTGTCCCAGTTCGACCTGCCCAATCCACCTGTCCAGAACACACCCTCTTCTTCCTCCAAGTCGTCTTCAAAGTCTTCATCCCCCATGGGTGTGTCCCATCCCCAACCGGCCCTCACAGCTTCTACTTCCTCCTCTTCTCCGTCCTCCTCCTCCTCTTCCAGGTCTAAATCGCCCCAGTCCTCTTCATCTTCCCCTCCCCACAACTGGGTTATACACACTCGGCAGAAGTTGTGCCCACAGCCGATGGACACGGGGTCTGTGAAGTAATCGAGGCAAATGGCACACACGGCCTCCTCCCGAAGGGTCTGCACAGGGTTGGTTGTCATGGCAACGGCAGCCATCTTAGTGCCCAGTCGGCCTGCGTAGATGGTTGCTGGGAGTTTGGAGGGTGGGGGGCCTTTCCCCTCCGACTTGCTGACGATCTGGCTCCACCACCGCCTTTCCACACCTTGCCTTAAGCACAGCCAAAAAAATGTCCTTGTTACAACCTAGCCCTCCAGTTTCCTATTCTCAGACGACAATCAAGTCTCTGTGAGGGGAGGAAACAGAGCTCTGCGCTACCGACAGGTCCTGAGCGCAAATGGCTCCCAACGGTTTCTTGGCCTCGTAATAAGCCCCGCCCCTCCTCACTATTTGTCTCTGCCCCCTCACTTCCGGTCTCCTTCTTAACATTTCCTGTGGCCACGAGCCACTGTATCTCGAGAGTTCCCTCTGCGGTTGCGCTACATCCCCTTCTTCCTTTCCCGGGCCCTTGGACAACAGGAAACAGTGAGGAGACGCTCTAGCAGCCACTCAGAAACAGGGCGGCATGGCTAGAACGTTGGAGGCCCATGTCTCTGTGGTGGGGTGGAGCTGAAGGAGGGCTACCTCACTCCGCATCCCACCTCTCTTCCACGGGAAATCACCGTCTGCTCCCAGTGCTATCACCTTAAATCACCCTACCTACCAAGCTTGGAGTACTGGGGCAGGCACTCTACACAGTAAATGCTCCAAAGAGAGCTGTTTTTGAGATTTAAGATCTAAAGGAATTCTCCTTGCTAGGTTTTAGACTAGCTTACGGCCTGTTACCTTTTTCTTCTTTCCTATATCTCCTCTTCTCGGTGAGGGTATCAATCCTATGCCTGCCTGTCCCACCATTGCATATTTGAAATCTATAACCTGGTTTTACAGGTTTACAGCTGAAGAGGAATCTTGCGTCGAGATGAGCCACACTAGAGTTTCACATACTATTTTTAAAAGAGATGTTGGGTTTGGAACAGATGGTGGAATGGGTTGACTTTGAGGTTGTTAGGATGAAATGAATGTATTTTTCATGTGAGAAGGAGATGAACTTTGGGAGAATAAAGAATGGAATGTTATGGGTTGAATTGTATCCCCCTCATTCATATGTTGAAGCCCTAACAGAGAATATGACTGTTTGAAGATGAAGTTTTTAAGGAGATAGTTAACATTAAATAGAGTATAAAGTTGAGGCCCTACTCCAATATAACGAATGTATAAAAAGAGATGGAGACATCAGATCTTTCTCCCTCCCTTTCTTCAAGTGCATAGAATAAATGCCATGGGAGGACATAGCAAAAAAGTGGGCATCTACAAGCTGAGAGGCCTCACCAGAAAGCAATCCACACAGCACCTTCACCTTGGACTTGAAGCCTCCAGAATTGTGAGGAAAAAAATCTGTAAATATTTAAGACATTTAATCTATGGTATTTTGTTATGGCAGCCTTAGTGCACTAAGCAAGAGCAAGGTGGGAGACTCTAACACCATGGCTTCTTAAAAAGCTATATTAAAACTATAAATAAATGATGTTAGGGTAACTCATAAGCATGTAAAAAAAGGTAGATAGCTAGATGCTCCACAAAACACATATGTAAATCAATTTCAAATTAATGACACAAAATCTAAAAGCATAATTTGAAGCTTTTTATATAAATACTTGAGATAGAGAATTATTTTTTTGAATAGTACTCAAAATATTTAAAATGTAAAAAATTATTGAGGATATTATTTATGTTACAATTAATATTTTTACATAAATAAAATAAAAAACAAATTCAAGATATTTTCACTATACATAATTGAGAAAGTATTAGTGTTCAGGAGACCGGAACTAAACTACAAAAAAAAAATACTAAAAACATTTTAGAAAAATGAGATAAACAAATGAATTGAAAATACATGTTACTGGTTAGTTGGGATTCATAATTTCATTTAACTGGGGCTAGCAACAAAAGCTATAGGAAAGTACATGGAAGTGTTTTTCACTTAAGTTTGAGATTACTCACTTGCCTTTTTCTGCATATACCGATACTTGATCCTACCTAGGGTAGAGTATTCAGAATATTTACAGTAAAATTAAAAGTCAGTGAATACAAAGTGTTGCCAAGGATGCAAAAAATAAGAATACTCACAAACTGTTGATGAGAATATACATTAGTAAATCTAATTTGAAAAAAAAATGGACATATCAGAAGTTCCACTCTTAGATATATCGTAAAAACTAGCATATATGCAGAAGTTTATAATTACAGAAATGTTATGTTGTACAGGTCAAGAAATTGGAAACAATGTAAATAGCCTTAAAAAAAAAAAGATATTTAATTTGTAGAATGCTTATTCAGTGATATAGAATACTTATAATGAATGAATCAGACTACACATATTAACATGGATAAGTTTCAAAATGTAAAAAAACAAAATCAGCAGAAAAATAAATTAAGATATTATATTTACCATTATTTATTAAAAGTAAAATGTTATAAAATATTTATGAATATGCACATATATTGGAAAATGGAAAAATGTGTGTGGTGTAAAAAAACAAATGTCTCGTAGTGATTTTCTCTGTGGAGAATGGAAGACATCAAAACTACACATAAGGTTTGAAAAATTTATACCCATGTCAGGATGTACTCTAACTGGTTGGTACATTAAAATGCATTATTTTATTTAAATATTTCCCTCCTCTTTGAGGTATTCCTTTAAACACACATTTTAAATGAAAGGATAAGAGGTAACATAAGATATTATCTGGTTTACAGATTAAATTTCATGAAATGAAGATGTCATTTTAAAAATATTAAGATTTTCCTTTTAAAAGTCACATGTAAAAGCATAGTCTAACAAATCTATCAGATTTAATATATTATATATGTATATATAGATTATGTATATAATTAATTTTCATTATAAATGTGTATATATATAAGTTCTTATATTATTACTTTTAATTTCTCATAGAGCTATGTCCTAACAAAATGTCTTACACCAAAAATTATAGAGTAAAAAAAGTACCTGTCTTAACTCTTAAAGAAAAGTTACCTATCAGAATCTTCCAATGACTTTCAGAAACTACTCATTTACATTCATTTAACAGTAGAAAATCTTACAGAACAGTACATTTGACCTAATTAGATGTTGAATATGAAATCTGGATTTCCATTTTTGTCAAGAAGCCAGCCATTCACTTGACTTGATTTTCAAAACTACGTCCTTCTCATCACCTTCTCTTAAGCAATATTGATTGATTCTAGTAAGTTCCCTTCCCAATCTGCAAATTCTCTAAACTCATATATCTATGGGTTTTATTTGTCCTGGAATGAGATGGAACCACATATAGATGGTATTCTGGTGAAAGGTTAGAAAATGAAGTCATCAATCCAGTGGCAACAGCGAAGTACAAGGTAAGCCTGACTCATATATAGTGGAGCATTGGCTTCAATTGTGGGATTCCTGTCATGGATAGGCTATTTTGTGGAAAGAAGATTGAGGTCCCCAATATATTTCACAAGTTTCTACATATTGAGGATGAAAATTTTAACTTGGTAATTAAAGAAAACATGTTTGTGAGAAATAGAAATTATTATTATTATAGTGCAGTATGAATGATAAGAAATAATTTTCTGAGTGTGAATGTGTGTGTGTGTGTTTTAAAACATTTATGTATGTGTTGTTATGGATTATTTATTTCCTGTTTTGTTTCTGGTTTTGGTTTTCTTGGTATTACAGCAGATCTTTTATCATAACATTTCACACGAATAACTTTGGAACTAAGGACTCTAGTCCTAACTTATCAAGAATGAACAAATGAAATATGAAGAAATTACCTGGCAAGAGGCAGGCATTTTTACACCAAGAATGATATTTACTACTCTCATTGTGAATCAGATGTATAAAATTATGGCTGTCTTGTCTGTGATCAGTATTTGAGGCATTTTTTTCTGCAAAAGGATCTCAGATAAACATCTTTAATAAAACTCATATTTCCCTGTTGGCCTGTACTTCATTATATGGTGATTCCAGGATGTAATTTTATATAAATACATACATAACATATCTAAATACCAGTTTTTATAACTGTCTCCTACTTCTATGTATTATAATGCTACCATGTATATTGTCTTGCAACTCTAAATATCAGGGCACTATACTTACCGTCAAGACTACTTCATACAATTGTGTAGAGTCTTGAAGGGGGTCCAACTAGAACTATATGCTTAATTTTGTATATATGCTTTTGTATAATTTTGTATATATACAACTTAATTTTGTATATATACTTTCTCAGTTAGAGATGTTTTAATTTATAATAGAGCATTATAATAGTGTCTTTTAAATTCAAAATATATCTTAGGAGAATAACATATAATTCTTTGATCAGTCACTTCCCCTTGGTGTGTATAATGGTTAATTCTATGTGTCAATTTGACTGGCCATGGGGTTCTCAGTTACTTGATCAAACATTATTCTGGGTATTTCTGTAAAGGTGTTTTTAGATGAGATTAACATTTATATCAGTAGACTGAGCAAAGCAGATTGATCTCCATAATGTGAGTGAGCCCCACCCAATGAGTAGCAGGCATAAATAGAACAAAAAGGCAGACACTTTCACAAAAAAGAGAGATTTCTTTCTGACTGATGGTCTTTGATCTGGAACATGGACTTTCCCTGACTTCTAACTAAGACTGAGACATCAACTCAGCTATTCCTGAGTCTCAAGACTGCTAATTTTCACACTTGGACTATGCCATCAGTTCTGTATTGGTTCTCCAGCTTATTGACTCACCCTACAGATCTTGGGACTTGCCAAGCTCCATAATCATGTGAGCTAATTCTATGTAATAAATCTCTTTCTCTGTCTATCTATCTATCTATCTATCTATCTATCTATCTATCATCTATCTATCTACATGTATCCATTTGGTTCTGTTTCTCAGGAGAACACAGAGTAATACTAATATAGTATGAATGAGTTTAGCAATTTAGTATTTAGTGAGGGCAGCATCAAAATTTTGAATACTAATTTGAGAAATTCAGAAGACATACAAACCAAATCAGAGT